GAGCCAGAGTTGGAGATATTACAGTCAACTTTGGCTTCTGAGCCAGTAATTCCAATCTTAAATAACTCACTGTCTTGGCCATGAGGAAGCACTATGGCCTCAGCTGGGGGAAAGACCCTGGCCTGGGGGTCTTAGCCACTCCCCACCCTAGGGTCTAGTTCAGGGGTATCCAGTCTTGGCTTCCCTGGGCCATGTTGGAAGAATTGGCTTGGGCCACACATAAAATAACACTAATGATAGCTGACGAGCTAAAACAAAAGACAAAACGGTTTGTGTAAAAATCTCATAATGTTTTTAGAAAGTTGAAGAATTTGTGTTTGGGCCTCATTCAGAGGCATCCTGGGCTGCATGTAGCCTGTGGGCCTCGGGTTGGACAAGCTTGGTGTATTCCGCCTCTTACTGAGTATCTTTTGGTAAGCTGCCATACCTCTCTGGCTTAAAGCCTCCTGCCACCATTCCACTCTGATGAGTTCAGTTCGTAAAGGTGCTTAGTTGGTGGGTTTGAATCCTCACTCCACTGACTCTAGCTATGGGAACCAAGGTGATATGGTTTGGCTGTGTCCCCACCCAAATCTCATTTTGAATTGTAGCTCCCATAGTTCCTATTTGTTGTGGGAGGGACCCGCTGGGAGATAATTGAATCATGGGAGTGGTTCCCCCACACTGTTCTCATTGTAGTAAATAAGTCTCACTAGATCTGATGATTTTATAAGGGGTTTCCCCTTTTGCTTGGCTCTGATTCTCTCTTGCCTGCCGCCATGTAAGACGGGCCTTTCCCCCTCCACCATGAGTGTGAGGTCTCCCCAGCCACGTGGAACTGTGAGTGCATTAAACTTCTGTTTCTTTATAAATTACCCAGTCTCGGTTATGTCTTTATCAGTAGCGTGAAAATGAGCTAATACACAAGGGCAAGGCACTTGAACTTGCTGACCTTCGGTTTCCTTATCTGTAAAATGGGGTAGTAGAACATACTGTATGGGATTTTGGGGAGTATTAAAGGAGTTGTGCCTGTAATCCCAGCACTTTAGGAGGCTGAGGTGGGAGGACTGCTTGAGGCCAACAGTTTGAGACCAGTCTAAGCAATACAGTGAGATACCCCACCTCTACAAAAAAATTTAAAATTAGCTGAGCATGGTGGCACAAGCCTATAATCCCAGCTACTTGGGAGGCTGAGGTGGCAGGATTACTTGAGCCCAGAAGTTAAGGTTACAGTGAGTTACGATTGTGCCACTGCACTCCTGCCTGGGGCATAGTGAGACACTGTCTCTAAAAAAAATTTTTGGCTGGGCATGGTGTCTCATACCCGTAATCCCAGCACTTTGGGAGGCCAAGTCAGGTGGAATTGCTTGAGGTCAGGAGTTCGAGACCAGCCTGGCCAACATGGTGAAACCCTATCTCTACTAAAAATACAAAAATTAGCCACGTGTGGTGGCATATACTTGTAATCCCAGCTACTCAGGAGGCTGAGGCAGGAGAATTTCTTGAACTCGGGAGGTGGAGGTTACAGTGAGCTGAGATCGCGCCACTGCACACTCCAGCCTGGGAGACAGCAAGATTCTGTCTCGCTCTGTCACCCAGAATGGAATGCTATGGCGCGATCTCAGCTCACTGAAGCCTTGACCTGGGTGCAAACAATCCTCCCACCTCAGCCCCCCAGGTAGCTGGGACTACAGGTGTGCGCCACCACTCCCTGCTAGTTTTTTTGTATTTTTTGTAGAGGTAGGGTTTTGCCATAGTTGCCCAGGCTGGTCTCGAACTCCTCGACTCAAGACATCCTCCTGTCTTGGCCTCCCAAAGTGTTGAGATTACAAGCCACCATGCCCAGCCAAAAATGTTTTTAAATTAAATTTTTTAAAATAGAGGAGCTGTAGGCCGGGCACAGTGGCTCAAGACTGTAATCCCAGCACTTTGTGAGGCCATCGCAGGTGGATCACGAGGTCAGAAGATCAAGACCATTCTGGCTAACATGGTGAAACCCCATTTCTACTAAAAATACAAAAAATTAGCCGGGTGTGGTGGCAGGCGCCTGTAGTCCCAGCTACTTGGGAAGCTGAGGCAGGAGAACAGCGTGAACCGGGGAGGCGGAGGTTGCAATGAGCAAAGATCGTGCCACTGCACTCCTGCCTGGGGGACAGAGCCAGACTCCGTCTCAAAAAAAATAAAAAAAATAGAGGAGCTGTACTGCAGTTAGCACAGTCACAGATACTGGCACATGGAAGAAACTGTTGGCAAAGACATGGATGCTAAGGACTCAGAAAACCAGATGATTCTGCTGGAAGGCTGGAGCAGCAGGAATGTGAAGAGGAGGAGTTGGAGAAACGTCTGGTTATTCATTCAGCAAGCGTTTGGC